GGTCAAGAAGTGAGGCCTCATCATTACATACGTTCGATTTTACCTGAGGGACCTGTCGGTCAAAATGGTACATTACGATCAGGAGACGAATTGTTGGAGGTAAGATTTATTTAATTTATTATCTAAGAGAGAAAAAAGAAAAAAAAAGAAAGAAATAATTAACGTAAAAAATTTTAATATTCCTTAAGGTAAATGGTTACCGTTTGCTCGGTATAAATCATATGGAAGTAGTTAGCGTTTTAAAAGAATTGCCTATACACGTTCGTATGGTTTGCGGAAGGAATGTGGCCTCCCAGGATCCATTATGTCCCATCGATACTGCTCAACATCAAGCAGCCTTTCAAACCAGAGTAAGTTTAAAAATATTATTTAATATTTATCAATTATTTTATATCCTTTCTATTTTCGTCGAATCATAATGTTACATTTATTTAATCCAATGAAATATATAGAGTATTCTTGGTGGATCCCTTCAAAATCTTTTACCGACAATGGATAGACTTGTAAAAGCAAAATCTGATGGATCCTTGGCTTCAACTACTACGACCGCAACAGTTACTGACGCTAGCCTGAACAAAATGAAGTCACGATCATTAGAACCATTAACGGGCTTGGCTATGTGGAGCTCAGAACCGCAAATTATCGAGCTGGTTAAAGGAGAGAGGGGCCTTGGGTTCTCCATTTTGGATTATCAGGTATAATGTATACATATGTGTGTCTCTGTGTGTGTGTGTGTGTGTGTGTGTGTGTGTGTGTGTAGGATTTGTGAAAAATGTTGAATCCTTGACTTATTTACATCAAGATTTGAAAATGATCTTTCTTGCTTTCTAGATTATTGTTTTGAATGATTAAGTTATTCTAAAGATCTTTAAATTAACCATTCCATTAATGCTTACACTTCTGATTAGAAATGGAATAATATTTGTCTCTACACATTATATATATATATATATAGTAATATGATTTGTTGTATCGTTCTATCTATATAGATTTATGGATAGAAAAAAGATAGAGTATAATATAGTACTAATAGTATACAATATTATATAGTATAATACAGTGCAAATATAATATTATAATACATATTATAGTATAGTACTAATATTATACAATATTATACAATATAATATAATATTATACAGTATTATATATATATATATATATATATATATATATATATATATTATCTATAATATATTTTCTTTTCCTTATTTAAATGATATCATCACATTTTGTCTGTTTATTCAGGATCCAATGAACCCCAACGAAACTGTGATAGTAATAAGATCGCTCGTTCCTGGTGGTGTGGCACAAGTCGATGGCCAACTTATACCAGGTGATCGGCTTCTGTTCGTGAACGATATCGCTTTAGAGAATGCAACTCTTGACCAAGCTGTTCAGGCTCTGAAAGGTGCACCAAAAGGAACCGTACGCATAGGAGTGGCCAAGCCGTTACCCATACCAGATAGTATCGTACAGGTGAGCGATCAAGAAGATCCAATTGAGACCACGACGGATAGAGATAACGAGGAAGCTACGCGCTCGATCATGGATAGCCATAAACAGAGGCGAGAATATTTTCGAGAGCGTAAAGTGAACGTGATCGAACCACCTCATCACATGGATTTGATCGATGGTCTTAAACATCTATATAATCTCGTCAAATCCGAAAGCTTTTGAGATCGATCGACGTTACGAATCAAATCTAATTTGATTCCTGATGAATTTTTTTCTTTCTTTTTATATATATATATATATATATATATGGATATATATATATATAAATATACATACACATTTCGTCATTACGTTCTTCGTGTAACCTTCGAGACATGACATTAACGTTTTGTCGTCATATTTTCTTTTTGTTCTTTTTTGTTCTTTTTTTTTTTTTTTTTTTTTTATCATCGAAATTTTTATATCGAAATATATATTATTGAAAATAATATGATCGTGAAACAGATTCTTTTTGTATTGTTTTCGTTTCGCGCTTATTATTTTTTTTTTTATTAATTATTGTAGCAAGAAGAGAGAGAAACGAAGACCTTAATTATAATCTATATATATATATATATATATATATATATAGTTTTTGAACAATGTGCAATAGCTATCGTTGCGTCATTTTATTGCAATGTTGCATTCTTGTGAGAAAGAATCGAAATATTGCAACGACTCAAAGTGGCTTTAAGATAATTGGGATATATGTCCTTCCTATCCACATGTTTGATTTCCATTTGCTATTTTGTTGTTTTTGTCCTTTTTCTTTGTTTTTGTTTTTATCCCATCATGCATGTTTTGCTTTTCATGTCTAGCTTTATGCGTCACTCATTCATTCGATCATATTCAATTCCAGTTTAACCATTATTGCGAATATATTTTCGCTTTATGTTTAATTCTTTTCATGCGTTTAATTACTAAATAAAGTATATATACATTTACATATATATATATTTAAACATATACATACATATATACATATATATATATATATATATATATATATATATATATGTATGTATGTATGTATATATAAGAAAAAAAAAACACAAACACGAACAAATTAAACAAATTTCATTGACCAATTCTTACACATAAATAAATAATCTTATTTTAACAGCAAACCTTTTCCTATGCACTTGCATACATTTGTAAAATTAAAAATTATTACAGTATGTCTATGGAAATAGGAAAGAAAATTTGAAGAAAAAAAAGATAAAGAAAAAGAAAAAAGAAAAACACAAAAAAGAATTTTCATGTAAATCAAACACACCATAAATAAAAATAGGGTGCAGTGATCATTGTTTTCTTTCTTTTTTTTTTTTTCTTTTTTTCCTTTTCCTTTTTCTTTTCTTTTTTTTTGTGTTTATCCAAATCCTATTCATCCTTTCCGTCATAATCATAATTAATATCATTGAGATTTAATCAGTGTTGTTTACATACCATTACTTACATACTTTTCTTTCTTTCTTTCTTTTAATTTTATTTTCCTTCTTTTCTATATCATTTATTTTCTTATTTTCTCCAATTATCTCTTATCAACGAGAGAGAGCGCACGAATATTTGCAAATATTTGACACAAAATCAATTACGTTAAAGTAAACTATAATATTATGCAAAGCGAAGAACTGAGCAACGTTTTTAACTCTTTATAACCTAATTGTTTTCTTTCGTCTTTTAAACGAACCTAAAGTAAAATAAATATTACGAAATTTATACTTGGTAAATATTAACTTTTGAATAAAAAATAATTAACAATTAATGCTAAAGTTAAATTAAATATTATATAAAGAGTTGAAAGAGTAACGAAGTAAACGATTAATTTAATATCTCAACATTATAATTTAATACACAGGCGTACCAACCTAACCTTTATATTTCCGGACACATTCTCTCTCTCTCTCTCTCTCTTTTCTGAGAGAAATGACCGGATCAAATGAATTTTCCCTTTCCGTATTTTTTTGTAAAACAGATACGTTTATAATCAGTCATAAAAAAAGAAGAAAAGAGAGAGAGAGAGAGAGAGGAGAATTAAATTTTTGAGAATCTTTCTCATTCTCTTTCTCACTCTCTCTTTCTCTCTTTCTTTCAGTATAATCTGTCGTTTCTACGACGTATTTTTTAATTTTTTTTTTTTTTATATATGCTATAACAAAAGAAAATTTAAACAGTTCGACGCGTAAAATTCGCGCGATAATGATTCTCAACCTAACCTAAAACCTCCTTCAATTGTTTCCTTCGATCGTCTTTTGTTATTATTTCTTAAACGTGCGTCGTGTAAGAAGAGAAATGCAAAAAAGATTATCGTGAAAATTTAATAATACGAGAGAGAATAAAAGAATGAGTAAGATGAAAGAAAAGAAAGAAAGAAAGAAAGAAAAAAAAAAGTAAAATAAAATAAATGAATGTATGAAAATGAAATGAAAAAAGGAAGCGCGGGGAAAAAAAGGAGAGCCGGGGGTGGACGTGGAAAAAAAAAAGAAACAAAACGAAAACAGAGAGAAAAAGCAAAAGAAAAAATGATTTTCGGGATTCGTTTTATACTTGGAATCCGGATGATCTCTCTCGTGAACATATCGGTGCTACTTTACAGCCTAACGATGGCCTTTAAATATGTCATGCTGCAGCCAGCCCCTTTAAGTAAGTACATAAATAAAACGATTGTAATAGTGAATGAAAGTTGCCTGGTAGAGAGTAGCTGATCGAAATAATAATGATAAGATTATAATAATAATGATAATTATTAACGTTTTCTTTCGATACATCTCTCTCACACATCTCCTCTCCTCTACCCCTCCTCATCCCCCTCCACCAAATATAAAGTAGAAACAATAACAACATTAACGAGAACAATAGATCAGGTTATACTGTTCTCACGACACACATACACACAGACCATACATAATTCTTTTTTTTTTCTTTTTTGATTTTTTTTCTTCCTTTTTTTTCTTATATTTTTAATTACTGACTCATCTCTTCTTTCTATAATATGTATATACATATACATATACATATACATATACATATATATGTATGTATGTATGTATGTGTGTATATTATATTTCATATTTGTCTTTTTGCAGTCGGACGATTAGGAAAAAGAAAAAGAAAAAAAAAAGAAAAAGAAAGAAAAAAAAAAGAATGCGAAACAAACAAACAACAAAAAAAGGAAAGAAAACAATTAATCAAATTGATCAGGTATTGAGTGTTTGTAGAGTGAAAGCGGAGAGAATTATTGTATGAGTTAGAGAAAGACGGATGGATGGACAAAGAGAGAGAGAGAGAGAGAATGAATGCATAAGCTAGTTAAAAACGGAGAGAAGAAATATTATACAATTGGAACGAATGAATGAATGAATGAATGAATGAATGAATGAGTGTATGTGTGTGTGTGTAAATGGAAGAGAAAATACGAAAAAAAAAGAACTGAAAAAAGAAAAGAGCGAGAAAGAGCGAGAGAGAGAGAGAGAGAGAGAGTGAGGGAGATAGAGTGAAAGAAAGGGTGAGAGGGATGACAAAAGAGAGAACGAGATAAGTGAAAAAAAAAAAGCAAATCCCACATACAAAAACCCATCTCTATCTTTTTTTCTTTAAGCAAAATTTTTATAACCTACACGAATCCTTGCCACGCACTTTCCCCACCGCCCCTCAACCCCAATCATCGCCTTTCCCTTTTCTTCGTTTTTTTTTTTTTTTCTTTTTCCTTTCTCTCGTCGTAAGTTGCTCTTCGATCGCAAAGCTCGTACGTCAATCTTTTCACCTTTTTCTTTTTTTTTTTTTTTTGTAGTAGACTCTTACTACCATACAATTATTGTATATTACTTCTACTTCTTCTATTACTACTACTGCTACTACTACTATTACTACTGCTACTGCTACTGCTACTAATTACCATACTACTACTAACTGTACTTCTATTTCTATCTCTATTACTACTATAAATATCATATCACTATTATATACTACTTTTCATTTTATTATTTTTATTACTAGTAACTATTACTATCATACAGCTACTGCTGTATAGTTTTACTACTTCTGCTATAACTATTACTGTGTAGTACTTTTATTTTTATTACTTCTATTGCTATTACTACTACTCTACTACTATTACTGCTATTACTATTACTAATCGCTACTACTAATACTACTTCTATCACCACCACCACCACCACCACCACCACTACCACCACCACCACTACTACTACCACTACTATTATTACTCACTGGCACCTTTCTTCACTATTATCAAAAGGCTCGGTGAGACCAAAACGTTTAAACCTAAACCACACTAACTGACTGATCTCACTACCCATCCTGACTGACTGATTAACCGTCCCTTGACTAGAGTCTGACGTTTATTTCAAAAAAAAAAAAAAAAAAAAAAAAAAGGGGCGATACACCTTTAAACTCATCCACTTTGGTAATTCACCATATATATATATATATGGATAAACATACAAAATGCACGCTAATTGTGTAACAATATCGATATCTCCAAAGGCTTCCTTTTTTTTTTTATCTTCTTCATTGCTTTACTTGAAGAAAGAAAGGAAAAAAAAAAAGAAAAAGAAAAGACAAAGCGAAGAAAAGATAAATGCAGTTCGAATTTAGAATTCTTTTTTTCTTTTTCTATGCCGAGTCTCGAAGGTACGCGCGGGAATCTTTTTTTTTTTTCTTTTTTTTTTCTTTTTCCTCCAAAGAAATAAAAAGGAAAGAAAATTCTATCCGCTGCTAGCAGCCCCGCACAATACCTACCCTTAAACCATCCCCTGCCTGCCACCCTCCAATAACCAACTCACTAAATCCCTTCACATTTTTTCTGGTACGCACATAATCGTAGCTTTGTATTTTTGAAATTGTTATAAGTCTGATTTATTGAAAAAGTAGAAAAAGATGATTAAATTAAGAAATATTATTTTGTTGATTGTTATAAGAAAGAATATCGGACTTATAATAGTTTTAAGAATGGATGGCAA